CTATTCGATTAATTACTCTTTGTGGTGAATTGTTTGTATACTGCCAATTTTTATAGTACACTGTTCGCATAATGTAATTCTTCGAGACACGATCAAGCGTACTTCTGTGTTAACAATGCCCGAATTAGGGAGGAGAGGTGTTGATCTCACTCGAACCAACAGAAACTTCACTCATCGTAGAATTAATTATAATATTGTCCTTGTCGAACACTTTGCCACGTATGTTTTCAACGATTTTACTGTATTTCGATCGATCGAGTATGCAGACGGGGAACCGAGGATGCAAATTTTTGGATCTTTAAAATCGTAATTCTAAAATTGAACTCGAAATTGTAATCTTTAAGATTGTAATTGTGAAATTTACATTGTTGATCTTTAAAATTGTAATTGTAAAATTACATTGTTCTTAATTTTATTTAATTTCAATTTTATTATCTTAATTTTATTTTATTTCAATTTTATTATCTTAATTTTATTTTAGTTCAATTTTATTACCTTAATTTTATTTTATTTCAATTTTCTTACCTTAATTTTATTTTATTTCAATTTTATTACCTTAATTTTATTTTATTTCAATTTTATTACCTTAATTTTATTTTATTTCAATTTTATTAGCTTAATTTTATTTTATTTCAATTTTATTATTTTAATTTTATTTTATTTCAATTTTATTAGCTTAATTTTATTTTATTTCAATTTTCTTATCTTAATTTTATTTTATTTCAATTTTATTACCTTAATTTTATTTTATTTCAATTTTATTAGCTTAATTTTATTTTATTTCAATTTTATTATCTTGATTTTATTTTATTTCAATTTTATTATCTTAATTTTATTTAATTTCAATTTTATTATCTTAATTTTATTTTATTTCAATTTTATTATCTTTCAGTTTGTTACGCGGAGTTTTCATTTAATATGTAGCTGAAGGCGAGTCCAAATTATTACTAGTTTAGTATCTTTTGGAATAGAGATTTTTCGCTGGTCGAGTAATTATTCAGTAATTTACAAAGGAGGCGGCTTTTACTGTAGAAGCTCGTTTAATATTTCAAACCTTATTGCCTTGTATATTTATTAACTCATTAAGTATCAATGGCGCGTCAATCTAAAATTCCATTTGTAATTTACATTATTAAATCCTTGTTGTCTCGGCGTTGTGAGCAAGAGCACGAGGATTTATTTCATATTTTCGTCCTCCATTAAGGATCTTCTTCCATCTAGATCCTACAGTATCATAAAATTAAAAAAAAAAAAAAAAAAAATCAAAGTATTCATAACAAATGTGATAACAAAAAGAATTTACACTCGCAGTGAGTATTTATTTTTGACCGTAAAAAACTCCAAAATTATAGATTCAAGTTCATTCAAAATTATGCAACGAACTTGATCACGACGAAACGATACACATATAAATTACTTTACCAATTACTTCTCAATTAATTTTCTCCAATAACAATAGCACATATTTCAGTAACCTACCAATTTGTATTGATAAACTACATTTATTATTGTTAATATAATTTATACATCATTCCGTTCATCTACTATAAACGCAAGAAATTTAAAGATTCAAAGTTGCATCGTCGTACAACGAACACAGTCGCGTATTAACGAAACATGTTTAAAAATATCATCGCGACAACGACAGTCGTTCCCCGAAAAATCCACGAGTATCTCGAGTGTCTTTTCTACAGTACGTTCGTAGCCTTTCTAACCACAAAGAAACATAGATGATCCGGGTCTTTCTCCAATCTTTATTGATCTCGCGAGCGCGGAAGTTGAAAACGGAGGAGCGAAGCGATGGACAACCTCGTACCAATCTTTAGCGAGAAACGCTGTAAGAAACGTAGACACACCAGGTTTCTCCCGATTTATATTCGTATGTAACGTTTAATTCCGTTCGTGACTACCTATAAATGTACGCTTAAAAAGTGGAGAAAAGAAAAGACACTGCATGTAAAACAATCGTTCGAAACGATTCTTCACAGTGGAACACAAGCGAGAAAAACAACTAGACAGCTATAATTATTTTACGTTGTCACATCGTAGACGATAACTTTGCACATTTTCTCCGCCAATGATTTGTTCGTTGTTAAATATAGAAATTGAAATCGCGATGCGCGGACTTTGAGTATAGTCTGGCAACATGACGAGAGAGAACGATTGATCGGAAATTTTTCCACGTGTGTGAAAATAAATCGAGAGAACGTTTTTTGTAAAATACTTCGTTCTCGAGGAAATTGAGCAATCTTCGAGTCTGTTTTCTTCAAATGATATTTAGATTTTATCCCACATTTGCACGTAAACTAACTTCCAGTTGATCATTTTTTTTTTTTTTTACTATTATGTTTTTTAGCCGAGTTTCAGTATGCTCGATAAATTTTCAAGCCTCGAAAACGAAGCGTCTTGTATTCATTGTCGTCGACTTGTTGCAGAATCGCTTCCACGCTGTATGAACAATTTGTCTCCTGGCAAATGGTTCATGACAAACATAGTTCTATTATCGTACAGTAGTGTCGACATTCGAAGTTCGTTCCACTGTGCATCGCCGCGGCAATTCGATCAATCGAAGGGACGAGAGATTTTTCGCGCGAAAGTTTCTCGCGAAAGAGCGGACGCTTCGGCCGGAAGTATTTTGCACAATGACGATAGACTCCGAGGCGAGAAATCGGCTATCTTCGAAACTCTGTTCGTAGATGTATATCTCGAGGAATTCTCTGATAAACCTATTTGTACACGTACACACGAGGACACACGTATACAGACACACGTAAACACACATGTAAGATATTAATATAATTGATTCTTGTGAAAGCTTCTTGTAAACCGACATTTATGTAAAAATCGGAAGTAGAGAGAGAGAGAGAGAGAGAGAGAGAGAGAGAGAGAATGAAAGAAACACGCAGAGATCTCCCATTACGAAGCGTTGAGCATTTTGTAAAAGTTTTATAAATAGTTCTATGTAGTTGAACAGCTGGACCAATAAAATGTATATCCGATTGTACGTGTCAATTATTGTTACTCGTACTGAGAACCTTCGATGCGTATTTTTTTTTTTTTTTTTTTTTGGATTACGTTTCCAACTTTTGAATACTTTTTTCTCGCGCTCCACGCGACAGCTTTACTGTGGAGTATTTTTGGAAAGTTAAACCGAAAATCTGGAATCGCATACACGCTCACCCGCAGATTATGAGCGTGAAAATTTCGGTCGTTGACTTGCCACGTTTATGCTTAATTGCTAAGTTAAACAGGTAGTTTCGAATTTTCTCATAAGTGTGTATAAAGTCGGGCGATAGATTGAAAAATCTGTTATAAAAGTTCCTTTGAGAGATCGGAAAAGCTACAAAAGAACATCTGAACATAATTTACGAAAGATTAAATATCAGTCGAACAAAAGTTCGATGCATTTCGATCTATTTGTAGAGTGGGAGTCCGATCTATTCGATCCATTGTGCACAACTTTCGAATCTTTATACGTTCATTTTATAAAACAAATAACATAATAGGACGAAAGCTGAATCTCTAATATTAACGGCATAACTGCAAAAGTTCATAAATTAATCCTCCAAGTTAGCTTTTTTTAATAATAAAAATTTGATCGATTTATGGACATAGAAACGCTAGCGTCGCGTAGCGGTGAAATGGTGGAACTAAAATTTATTGCTGTCTTTGTCGCACAGTAGTGCGTTCCTTGTTTGTCGCATTGCAATAGTGTCCTTGTCACACACTGTTGCGCTCCTTGTTTGCAGATTGTGCTGCCATCTAAGCCAATTGAATTTCTAGAACTAAAAGGCTAAAAAGGAAAAATCCAACAGATGGCAGCACCAGCGGTATTGACCGGTAATAGATTCCAGTTCTTATAGTCTCCGATAGATGGCAACACATTGTTCGTCAATGTAGCGATTATAATGATAATATTATAATACTACAAATAAATAAGAAGAACTTCGTAACTTTAGTAACTTTTAATAAATTGTAATAAATGACATTTAAATAACAATAAAGTTTATAGCACAAATAGATAACTGTTTTCTCCGAATGTTAATTAAGGAATAAATAATAAATTATAAAATGGGGTCTATATATGCATCTCTATAAATAAGTAAACATGGTAATAACATCTCCATAACAATAATAAAAATAAAATATCAATTTATAAGTGTTCTTATGTTAAGAATGTTTATATACAGTTGGCGATGTCGGTTTACAGGAAATCAATGTAGCGACCATTACCTCTTTAAAATTAACATCAGCGCCATCTACATTAAAACAACTGTTCCGCCAAAAAGTGAGTTTCCTGTAAACCAACATCGCCAACTGTATTTAAATTCTTAACGCAAGAATATTTGTAAATTGTTATTTTATTTTTATTATTACTATGGAGATGCTATTACCATGTTTACTTATTGACAATGATGCATATATAGACCCCATTTTATAATTTGTTATTCATTCCTCAATTAACATTCACAGAAAATAGTTATCTATTTGTGCTATAAATTTTGTCTAATATATAATTGTTATTTAAATATCATTTATTATAATTTATAAAATGTTACTAAAGTTACGGAGTTCTTCTTATTTATATTTGTAGTATTACAATATAAATTTAATTATCATCATAATTACTACAAAGACGGTACGACAGGACGCGACACAGAAATAGTAACGGGGCCACAGAGTGTCACGAAATCGTGTCCGAAAAAATACATTGTATGCAATGTCTATTCACGTATCTCGTCTGTGGTCGAGTTCAAAACAATTCGAATTGACATTTCCCCAAGATCGCAGTTTGCTCCGTCTCTCAAATTGAAACCCGTAACCTGTGCCATAATACGTCGATTTAATTAATTTGATCGTCGAGCGCGACTGGATGTTGCAAAATAAGTGGTTAAACATCGATTTACGTACAAACGCGAATTCGAAGTGGACCGATCAAAAGTGGTTCCGGCAGTCGCCGCTGGGTGGCGCCGCGGTCGCCGTGGCGGAATCAATGAGAGCGAGTGAAGCGTGAATGGAGTCGAGGATAGAGTCGCCTCGAGTACGATAAATCTCGACCCCCGGGGTCGACCGAGGCCCTCTCGATCGTGCGTCGTATCAACGATCATCGTGGCTGCTGCCACTATCGATATCGGCGGGCCCACGCACTGCCGTCGGAAGCGTAGAAAGTGCTGCTGCTGCGTGTGTGTCGAACAGGTGTCCCCCCACTTCGGCGGCCTAACCTCGGCGCTAGCCTCAGTGGCTCTGCAGTGTCGGATGTACATGTATGTGCGGCGTATGGGATGTGCACCTGGAGCCGTTCTTGTTACTAGGTCACAAGAGGTGTGTATCAATGAGATTCGTGGTAATCGGCAATCGTTGCCCGCGCGGTCGGTCGACGTTTCGCAGCCACGGTGGCCGCATGTGCGAAACACGCCGAAACACAACGACGTGACGTGTAACGTGCGTCTCGCGAAAGTGTGCCTCCGTCTGCTGTCTCTCAGCACAGCCAGAGGATAAGTTCAACCGATATCGTCTCCGCTTCTCGCGCCCAGCGTCTCTCTCTCTCTCTCTCTCTCTCTTTCTGTCTCTCTCTCAAGAGACGCTTCAGTTCACACGAATTCTCGCCGTTGGATCACGTCGTGCTTTCTCGCGTTCCGCTTCTCTCTCGTCTTCCGCCACCAACTGTATATCCCTGTTTGCTCGTACAACAGGGCTTGCAAAAGAGCGAATGTACGCACGCACGTACGTACGTACGCATACGTGCGTCCGGGATCGGGCAGTGACGTATCGATAGCTCGTTACGTGTCGCGACGACTTCCATCGCCGGCTATTTCCACCGGTGGTCTCTCAAATAACAGACGTTTCTCTTTTGTGGTGTTCGTCGCGGAGCAACGTCGCGAAGCTCCGACGGTCGTTCGTTTACGAAGACGTGCAAATATTATTGCGTACGTGGTGTGTTCTTCACCGGAGACAGAGAGGCGATTACCACCTCCCCCTCCCACCGTCCTCTGAAGGAAGCTGGCGTGAAGGCGATCGACAGAGCGCGAGGTCTCGAGGATTATAAAACTGGGTAATATCTTTTTAGCGACCGTGTCACGCGACCGATACTCGACCATGTGGTGTTGCGATGTAACGGTGCTGCGTGGATAGGTGTGTATGTATTACGTATATATATATATACGCATAACGTGCTAGCCTTTTTCCTCGTGTGGACGCGTCTAATTATGCGACTGTTGCAATTACGTGTGTACAGCGATTCGTATGCCGAATCGTTTGAGCAACGTCTTATACATAGTGCGCAGTTTCTTAAATTATCTTGATTGAAGCTGGTAAAAATGTTACTGATGAGCGACTGATATTTATCATGCAGTCGTTTATTGAAGCTGTACTTCATTAAGCTCTCATTGCCTCTTGGATGGTGATTCTAACATAATTGCAATTATATTGCAACAGTTTACATTATTAAATTAATAATGTGGTATTGTAATTAGATAATGATTCTAACATGGTGGCGATAATGACAATTGTATACTATTATAATATAATTGGATAAATGATTATGAGTAATATAATATTATAATTAGATAATGGTTCTAACCTGGTAATAATAATGACAATTATATACTATTATAATGTTATAATATTAGATAATGATTCTAACATGGTAACAATAATGACAATTATATACTATATATAAAGTTGTAATATTAGATAATGATTCTAACATGGTAACAATAATGACAATTATATACTATTATAATTAGATAGTTGACATTAATAATACAACATCATAATGTTAGTGATGATAAATATAACATCATGACATTAGTTACTCTAATAATGGCAATAATGACATTACAACAATTGATAATATACTATTAATAATATAATGTAATATCATGTTAACAACATTAATGGCACAATATTATAATATTATAATATACCATAATAGCATACTTTTTATAATTTAACGTACAATTAATCTAGCCACCAAAGTTTCGAAAGAGATGAGAGGTCTTCAGGGCCAACATTGTGCACGCGTACATATCCTAAAAACAGCATCGTGGTCAATCTTTCGAAAAAGTATATTTCGCATTACCCACGTATCTCGCAACAGTCTAAACACGAAGCTTACAACGACCCTGATTTTTGAGACGTTTCCATCGTTCCGGTAGGACACGCATAGTAGTCGTTTTATATAGCGCGGCATGCGTTACGCATTTCCGATTCACCGTAGAACCGTACCCGCGCGCGGATTCCGTCTCCGTTCTTGCCAATCCGGTCGCGAGGCGAGTAATCTTATTCTACCGGCTGTGTCGGTATTCCGTTTAAAGGAATGCGGCACACCTGCCCATCTTTTACTCTGTTCCCAAGGTCTCCCATCGGATCCGCGTTGACCCGTTCCTCCGGGGGTCATTTTCCAACCCGGATCGATCGTCACCCTCCCCTAACGAGCAGAGAGAGAGAGAGAGAGAGAGAGATATTCTCGATAATTGAAATTTGAAAAAAATCGTTCACGTGAATTCGTCGTTTCTCGCTTCTTCGCTTCTTTCGTGCCATTTTTCTTCGTCGAGATGAGCACACGAGTGCCACGTTAGAAGAGAATCGAGGATTCACAGCCTCGCGGGGAGGAGGTAAAGCGCGTGGTAAATCTCCATGGGAAATCATACGGTTCGATCTCTGTACCGCGGCAAATCACCGCGGATAACCTTCGATTAAAGGATGGATAAATAATTCATGAAGACAAGCCGGTTCTTTCGATCGAGAGGAACGTTAAATAGGTAAATGCGGCATACCTCGGCGGTGATTAATAAAACGAGTGAAAGGTTCGACTTGCGTGAAGTCTTTCTCTCTCTCTCTCTCTCTCTCTCTCTCTCTCTCTCTCTCTCTCTCTCTCTCTCTTGTGAGCTTGATGAGCGAATTGACCAGTTCAAGACGGCACGTTACTCGACCTGCAAGGACACGTGTACCGATCGGACCGGACTTCTCTCCCTCTCTCTCTCTCTCTCTTTCTTTGTGCGCAGTTAGAACAAACGACTGCCATTTCGGTAATACGCGCTTGTACGTTCGAGAAAATCATCATTCTTTTTTTCTTTTTTTATTTTTCCAAAGTGGCGTTCAGGTGGAATCCCGTTAGCCCGGGATACACGGCCTGCTGATTAACATATTTCGCTTTGGCGCAACACTTTGTAGTGGCGAAACGATAACTGCACGAGCGATCCGCGTACGGCTAATCACGGTTATAATGAAATTTCCTTGCCGGCGTGGCAAGTTTAGGAATTTGGAAAATTAGAGCCGCATCGTTCGCGCCGGTTCGGTGAATCTCGTTTATCTCTGGTGTTGGAGTAACAGCGTTCAACCGAACGACACCCAATGGTCTCGAAACGCCATTGTCTGCATTTGTGCGAGTAGTAGCTCACGAAAAAAGAATGCACGAGTGATAAAAATAATCCAGTTAACTATCAAGACTTGTACGTGCAATCGAATAATTAATTGTTAAAACACGTTCGTTAGAAAGAGAAACATGCGCTTCCGCCGAATATCTCGGCGGTAGCTTCTGTACACATTATCAAATTGATTTCAAATTTGGCAAATATAAATTAATATATATCGTCGATTCTCATTAATACATATTTCTGCAAATATTTGTGTTGTGCGCATGTTACGCGAGTCGTGCGAAATATTTAAAAATATTTAATGTAGACTGTGCGTCGCATTTTAATCACTTCCCAACTGACTGCGGACCATAACGAGTGACCGAAACCGTGTAGTTCCGTCGGTTTCTTTTACTTTTGAACTCGTCGGTACGACATCACTGGATAGAAATTATTGAGAAGTAGTAATACATTTATACCGGTGGTATACTTAAATATACTTAAAACTGAAAAAATACTGCAATTTTGGGACAAAAAAAAAAAAAAAAAAAATTGCGAGAAAATCATTGATTTAACATTCGGCAGGTACGCGCGGATTAATTCTCAATATCTGATAAAACGCTACTGGTAGATGTTAATCTACTCGCGGATCTTCGGCGACTCTCTGATAAATTAATAAAATCGTACGTTACTTACCTTGCTCGGTGCCGCGTATTAGACGACAGATAAATCAGATAAGATTAATATCCGGAGTCTGTACCGAAGCGGGCGTCTCGTCGATTATCCGCGTCCCGCGGCTCGACTCGAGCTTAAACCGTAAGCACAATTGAGTTTCTGAAAAGGATGTTTCTTTCTCCACCAGCGTGGGGGAATATAGTTATTAAACGTTGCTAATTAATCCGTCTTTAACGTCGGATTTAACGTCGCGCGACGAGATTAAATGGTTTTCAAGCAGTTGCGGTGGGATTTCATTGTTGGATCGTGTTTCCCCCTCCCTCCCTCTGTTCCTTGTTTCACGTTAATTGTACGCGAAACGGTGAAATGTCGACTAACCTCATACTTTATGCATTACATCCGCCTCGTTTTCGAATTCGATACGCGTTCGAGGTATAACGCTCCTCCGTCGCCAGTGTATTTTGGGAGGGCCGAGTGCCACAGCACGGCAAAAATATTTTCATTACATTTTGTCCAAGTCAGACTGCCGGATCTGGAGAATTTTCCCCACGTTCCTTTCGATCTTCGTCGAAAATTATTAAGAACTAGGTTACATTAAAAAGAATTATATTACATTGCGTTATCTGCTTGTCGTTTCAATATCGGGCGTGGAAAATTTTCCAATTGTCTGAATATGTATTATACGAGTAGATTGAATGTTATCTTGAGCTCAAGCCGCGCATAGTAATCGTAGCTCATCTGCGTAAACTACAAACGTGAATATAAATGTAAGTGGCATTTTTACGGAAATTTTGAGCAAATAGCGGCGCAGCGTGGTTTGTTTCACGCGAAGGGCCTTCGAACGTGAAGAGTTAACGGTAACGCAGTGTGTGTCGCGACAGTGGCGACGTGTTCGACAAAGGAAAATGGGTCGCGAGATGACGACGACGACTTTCATGAGTGAAATAAACCGTGAACAGGACGTGAACCGAGTGAAAAGTGTAATTTGTAAATTCACGAGAGGTCTTGGCACGGTGTGGAGACTCGCGTGCACGCACGCGCCTCGCAATTGGACGATAAAAAGCTGCTCGTGTTATTTTTCGCGCGCGCGTCGCCCAATGGAATTATTCGAAACGATCGCAAACATTTTCAGAGATATAAACGATGATAGCGCCTCGTAAAATTTGCGGTCACGCTGGCAATTATTCGCGCGCAGTAACTAACCACGCGTAACTTTGAATTTCCCTCTCTCGCTTTGCCAGACCAGTGAGTCAGAGAAATATTTTTACCGTCACGATCTACGAAGCTTTTTCACGTTATTTTTTACATTTGTGTTTTTTGAACGACTTTTTCACGTCATTTTGAACATTTCGACTGACACGTGCCCCCTTTTTTTTTCTAGCACATTTTAACGTTCACAAAGAATCGAATTCGCGGGAACATCATTGCGTAGTCTCTTCGTTGCGATGTCGATGAATTTATAAAAAAAAAAAAAAAAGAAAGAATTTCATATAACGAGACGGTTATGTTGTAATGTATCTGTAACAAAGAAGAGATATTTGAGAAATGTCCCATTTCGTTGATACTAAGTGCACTTTCGCCGACTACAGTCCAACCGCCATTTTGTCCTCGAGTAAAAATTCCCCGAGCGAGTGTTGCAATTTCGTCGTTTTGCCGACGACTTGATCGAATTTTCGGCTCCATTCCCCGACGGTTCGAAGCAAAAGTGGAGATAACGGCCGCCGAAAAAAACGTTTTGAAACGATATTGTACGTTTCGCAAAGGCAAACGTGCATTAGCGGCAGCGGGCTTTATGAAAGCGGGGCGGTACGTTTCGGTGCAGTTTATCGATGCTCGCACGAGAAACCTTTAAAGACTGCTCGTTGCGCTGTAACGAGAATTGTTCACGACATTCGACCCACACAGGTCGCAGCTTTCAACGAGTCACGCGGAGCCCTTGTGATTGGATTTGTAACACTACGTGCTCGAACGTTATGGTCTCGCGTATACGCGGGATGCTTGATACACTACATGGATCAAT